TATTGTTATTTGTTGTTGTTACTCGCTGTCATTGTTGAGGCTGAAAGTCTCTCCTGCCTCAGGGAGCGGACTTGACCCCTGCTGACCCCCACCCTCGGCCGCCTTGGCTGCAGTCATCCCAGTCTGTGCCCGGAAGTGCAGCGGTTCGCTTCCTCAGCCAATCTTCCCATCCCAGCACCCTGCAGGGTGGGCCAGAGGTCTGACCTCACAGAGATTAGGTGAACTCCTGTGGCGGTCAGGCCCCCCGTGAGGCAGTGATGGTGCAGCGTAGCTCCCGGCCCGAGGGACAGCGAGGTGACTGGAGCACCCACAGGTGCACGGAGACCGTGGCCCCTGCCGTGGGCTCCTGGGTTTGAATCTGGACAAGCCCGTGAGAGCCTGAGGCCACCATCCTGGGCCTGTTCCCTCCTCTCATGGAGGGGACAGGGGAGCAGCCAGGGAGTGTGTGCTGGCTCAGGTTAAGGGTCCAGCTCGGCACCTGGGCCCAGGAGGGGGCTGAATCTCACCCCCAGCTGGGCTGTGGCAGCTCAGAGCAGGGCAGAGTCCTTGGACGAGAGGCAGGACCCCGGGCAGCCATGAGCCGAGTCGCAGCGCTGAGCAGAGGGGCGGAGGGCACAGGGTCAGCCCTCAGCTGGACCCTCGGCTTGTCACAGGTTACCTAGGACGCTGGTATTCGTCTGTCTTTGTCACTGAGGGGTCTGGGACAACCCCATGGGGCCTTCATATCCCTGCCATCAGCACGCTTCTGCTTCTGACATTGGACAAAAGAGTGCTTTGTTCTTGGAAGCAGTGTGGAGGGTGTGTAGACGTTTAAAAACCCCACTCTTTTTAAAGCATGAGAGGGGGGATCTTAGAGGGACTCTGGACTCAACTGTCTGGTTCACAGCCTCGCTCTGCTACTTATTACATGAGACTTTGGGCAAGTTCCGTAACCTCTCTGGGCCTCAGTGTCCGCATCTGTAACGGGTGGGGAACGTCTGGCCCGCGGGCCTGGGAAATCATTTGGTCTGGCCCTGCCAAGGCATTAGGGGTGAGTGAATTAAATGATCAAATATAGCAGGCTAATTTTTAAGTTGATCATTTTATATGGCCCAAGAATGATATTATAAATATCCAAATGGCAGAAAAAAAGGTCCCCCACCCCTGCTCTATAACATGGGATGGTGGTAGCAGCTTCTACATAGAGTAAATGAGATCATCCAGACTCAATGCGTGTTAGCTCTTCTTATCACGACTTAGGGATGCAGGCTTTTAAAAACAAAAGGCCGGCTTGTCAAATGTGTAATCCCCCGTTTGTAATCTGGTGTACGTTGTTATACCAGGTACACCTGAGCTCCGAGAGCCATGTGTTCATTCCGGAGTGGGGGTTTTATCTTGGGGGACAGTCTGTGAAAGGCCAGTGATCCCCTGAAATTGTACAGGGCAGTGCCTAGACCCCTAATGGTAGGCTGGATAATGAAATTATTAATGAATACTTCCCCCCCCCGAGCGCTCTCTCTCTCCCTCCCTCTCTCTCTCTCTCTCTCTCTCTCTCTCTCTCTTTCACACACACACACACACACACACACACACACACACACACACATCCTCCTCCCAATCCAGAACCCGTGATTGTGTCACCTAATATGGTAAAAGGCCTTTGCAGAGTCACGTTATGTAAGAGGCAGGCAGGAGGGTCCCTCAGAGAGGAAGGATGGAGCCGAGGTCGGAATCCGAATGGAGCGCTTTGAAGCGGGGGAGGTGGGGCAGGAATGCAGGGGCCTCTGGAAGTTGAAGAGGCCAGGGGATGGGTTCCCCGACCCCTCTGGAAGGAATGCAGCCTGTCTACACCTGGCTTTTAGGCTTCTGGCCTCCAGAACTGAAAGGGAATGACTTGACGTTGCTTTAAGCCACTACGTTTGTGGTCATTTGTCACAGCAGCACAGGAAACAGATAGAGCCCTTGTCAGGGGAGGGTCCGTAGTTTTCTTATGATGCAGGAAGGGAAGACTGGATATTGGGAACCACGAGCAGGCGGCCTGGAATACCAGGCACCTCCTTCTCCCTCGCCCTCCAGCACAGGCGGAGAAGGAAAGATCCGGAGTGCACTGTGCCCTGCAGGCGATATCGCACCTCAGCCCGCCCTCTCTGGCACACCTCCTATCTCTGGCGCACCCTCGGGAGGTCATTGCCTTTCCAGCACTTCACTGGCCCCAATTGGCACTTATGGGTCAGAATGCAGAGAGGAAGGCCGGCTGAGAGGTGCCCTCTGGAGCCCCTGAGAAATCATTGGCACCTCAGAAGTTTCACCGGGGCTTATCTGTAGAGGATTGTCTGCAAGGAAAGTAAAAGGAGCCCTGGCTGCTTTGGCTCAGTGGATAGAGTCTTTGCCTGCGGACTGAAGGGTCCCGGGTTCGATTCCAGCCAAGGACACATGCCCAGGTTGCAGGCTCAATCCCCAGTAGGGGGCGTGCAGGAGGCAGCCAATCAGTGATTCCCTCTCATCATTGATGTTTCTCTCTCTCTCTCTCTTCCTTTCTGAAATCAATAAAAAAACATTTTTTTTAAAAAAGAAAGAAAGCACAAGGAGTCTTTTTCAGTTCCAGGAGACTTTAGGGTTAATGTTGGGGCTAGGGTTTAGGGTTTGGGTTATGCAAATGTCCTCCTTCCCTCGGTGCGGTGCGCCATGCTTGGGCACTTACTGTATACCAGCACTGGACAGTTAACATGGATAAAACATTCACTTTTCAACCCTGTGAAGGGGATTCTGTCTGTCTAATCATCACTGACAGAGAGGGGGTTAATTCCTGGGGGGACCCTGGGGTTCCAGGAGCACCCCCTCAAGGCTGCTGGGAGCAACAAGGGAGAAGACAGTGAAGCGCTGGCCGTGCTGTGGAGGCCGTGAGCACTTGGCCGAGGGCAGTTCTTGTTGTTTTTCCCGAAGTGAAAGAGGTGCCGAGCCCCCCAGAGCAAACCCCGCTCTCCTCGGCCTGTCACTCCCCTCCCCCTCTCCTGCAGGCTGCCATGTTTTAGCCTCAATTCCAGTTTTATGATTAAACACCCCAGCGTCAATTATTTACAATACTTCCAGATGAATATCAGGGTTGCAGAGGCCTGAGTGAGTCACATGGGGGAAGCTGATATTTATGGAGGGGAAAGGACACGAAGGAAAATAAGGAACTCTACCTCCTGCCCACGGAGACCAAGGTCAGCCTCGAAAAGGCTTCCTGCAGCCGGGGCGTGGGGAGGGGGCTCTCCCTGGGCATGGGGGGATGGAGAGGCATGGGAGTGGGGGGACTGACAGCGTGCTAGCTCTGGAGCCAGACAAATCTAGCTTGAATCTTTGCTATGTCATTCGCTGTGTGACTTTGAGCAGGTATCTTAACTTCTCTGAACTTCAGTTTCCTCATCTGTGAAATGGAGGTTATTCTAGAAACTTTCTCATTAGGGTTCTTGGGAAATTTAAATGTGATATGAAATAATAAACTTAAAATATAATCCTATTAAATAAATCTTGGTAATAAGCATTAATCCACATATATAAAATATGCTGATTTTCCAAATAAGTAAAATTATTAATGAGCCCTTGCCGGCTTGGCTCAGTGGATAGAGCATTGCGGCCTGCGGACTGAAGGGTCCCAGGTTCAATTCCGGCCAAGGGCACATGCCTGGGTTATGGGCTTGTTCCCCAGTGGAGGGCATGCAGGAGGCAGCCGATAAATGATTCTCTCTCATCATTGATATTTCTCTCTCTCTCTCTCCTTCTCCCTTCCTCTCTGAAATCAATAAAGAAATAAAATAAATTATTAATGATCATAAATGCATGGAAAGCACAGTGCCTGGCCCTTGGTCAGCACTTAGGAGAAGGGTAAATGTTGTTGCTACCATCCCAAAATGAAAAAAGAATTGGGTGTGACAAGTGGCTTCCTAAACATTGGAAGCAGGAGGAGGCTGGGGGCTCGAGAAAGCAGCTCTGGCTAAAATGCTTCAAGTAGAAATTGGAGGGAGAAAGGGGGAGGGGGGCAGGGAGAGGGCGGGACGAGGTCAGCTGTGTGCCAACAGGGCTCCTGGCAGAAGGTTTGTTAGCCACTTCTATGGCGGCACCGTCGCCGTGGCTGGAAAAGAACATGTCCAGATATGGGCAGGATAAACTTTCTCCAACCGTGTGCTAATCTCCAGAATCAGGGCCGGCCGGCAGAGGCCTGGGAACAGGGAGGGCCCTTCGCCCAGGACCCAGCGGCGCAGAGGTCCGCCGGTCATCTCCACACCCGCTAGCTTCGGTTAAACCCCCTCACCCAAGGACCACGTAAGCGTCTGGCTTGTTTTGTCCGAGGGCCGGGGAGCTGTCGTTCTGAGCCATCGGGAAGCGGGGTGCCTGTGGATGCAGCCTGGGAACGCGTGCCTTTTATCCCAGTTTCATCCCGGCCAAGAGCGAGTGCGAACTTGGCTCAGGCGCAGGACCCTGGGTTAAAGTGTAAACCGGGCAGAGGAGGGCGGCTCGCCCAGCCCCCCTCCAGCCTGGCCACTGGGGCAATGGGTGCAAAAGTGATTGGTTTGATCAGGATGAAGGAACTGGGCCCAACTAAACCCGCCATCGGGTCAGCAAACAGTCTTAGTGGGCCGGGCACCCCGGGAAGGTGTGAACAGGAACGCTGCCTGCATGCATTTCCTGTAACCTCTGAGCCCGCACACGGTGGCTGAGAGCAACACACATTTATTCTCCTGCGGTTCCGGGGGCGGGAGCCCACACACAGTCAGTTCCATGGCAGGACCAGTTCCTTCTGGGGGCCCTAGGGGCCCCGTGCACCCCTCGGTTCACGGCCCCTCCTCTGGTCTCGCCAGCCTCTTGCTTCCATCACGTGTCGTACGTCCTCCTCCCTCTTATGAAGACACTTGGAATAACAATAAGTGGACCCACCTGGATAACCCCAGCTACTCTGCCCATCTCAAGATCCTTCATTCATCGCATCTGAAAAGTCCCTTTTGCCCCGTAAAGTACCCGTCAGGATGCCAGGGACTAGGATCTGGATGGCTTTGGGGGCCATGACTCAGCCCACCACATGCCTTTTCCCAAATTCTGAGAAACACAGGGTGGTGAGTGGCAAATATCTCTGAGCTGGACCCCAGATTCTTCTTTGCCCCCAGTGTGAATGGCCTCGAATCAGCCCCTCACCCCGTCCCGGCCTCTTTAAGAATGGAGGGGTGCTCGCCGCCCTCCACACGTCTGTCGTCAGCTGGCCCATTTAGAGCAGGCACCCGGCGATTCCCCTGAATGCATTCACTGACTGCTTTCAGCCCCCTGTCCCTGCCTCAGGGCCTTTGCGCAGGCTCCCTCCACCTAGAATGCCCTTCTCCCAGGTTTCCGTATGGTTCCTCCTCGCCTCCTGCGGGTCTTTGCTCAGACATCTTTGCTCGGTGGCTGTGTTTTCTGACCATCATATTTAAAATCACCGCTTCCGGCACCGCCTCCCGCCTCCCCAGCACCATCTTTTCCCTCCAGCCTGACCTTCTCTAGGATGTTCTCCAGGCTGGTTCTCGGTGAGCTCCGTGGGGACAGGCCTTCTATCTGTTTGGGCCATTCTTCTCTCCCCAGCGTTGGAGCACGTGGCAGGTGGCAGGTGCTCAGTTAATATTCTGTTGAGTGAATGAATAAATACCTGAATCTTAAAACTTTGACCTCGTTACGCGTAACAACCCAGCGAGGTAGATCCCGGTCCCATTCCGCTCTCACAGATGAGCGACGGAGGCTGGAGGAGGTAGGAATGAAGTTGTCTCTGTAGCCATTCAGGGGCAGAGCTGGGCTAGGCATGCAGCCTCCTGCAAGGCGCCCACACCGGGCTTGCCTCCCCGTGGGGGGCGGGTGGAGTCCTTGCTCACATTTCAGCTCCCCCTCTGCCCTTTTCTACTTTTTGCTGCAAAATGCCTCTTGGGGAGGAGGGACCAAATGAATTAAGTCGGTGTCCAGGCCTGCTGCCCAAGGACAGTGCCGTGTCCGGACGATGCCCAGGGCACAGGAGCCTGACAAGCAGCCAATGCGCTGACCAGGGTGCCTCCAGCCTCAACTCCTGCCTCCCAGACTCTGGCCTGAGCCTCAGGCCTGGTCCTCTGGTCCCTGGAAGGTCCCGGTGCCCAGAGGCAGCCTTGGTGGCCAGATCATGTGGCCAAGCTTTGTTACAGGGGTTGGCCCTGCCTTGGTTTAGCTAAGCTTGTCCGGAAGGCTGGGGTTCTGTTGCCCCCAGGATGAGGAAGTTCCAAACAGGAGATTCTGTGCACAGGGCACCCCTTAGAAGCTGTGAGGCCTGGGGCAAGGTCCTACCTCTCTGCCCCGTGTGTCAGTGATAACACGGACAAAGGTGAGGCTGAAACAAGCTAACGTGGGCAAAGGACTCAATGTGAGCCTGGCACGCAGTCATGTGAAAAGCACTCAGCATGAGCCTGGCTCGCAGTCGGCGTCCAGACAATAGTGGCAGGTATTTCTGTTGCTGAGCAGATGCGGGGCCAGCAGGCTGGGCCGGGTGGCGGTCAGCGCCTGGGCTCAGCTGCTCAGCCCAGCTTGCCAGACGGAGAGGCCACTGGTGGCTCATCCCCGGGCCTGGAGGAGGATCGAGGGGTCAGAGTCACTCTGAGTTGACGGTGACAGGAGCCCTGGCTGCTGCCCTGCACCCGTGAGCACCAGCGGGGAGCGCACAGAGATGTCACATTTCCCGAGAAACACTGAAAGGGGCTGGAGACAGGGTGCCCGGTGCCGGGCTTCTCAATAGGGTCACCTGCCGGCCACCAGCTCAGAGAAAGACATCAACTGTCAAACTTCCAAAGAAAAGATCCCTAATTTGTTTCCGGCTCCTGGTCTTCAGAGGGACTATGTCCTCCTTAACTTCTCCAGCGCTTCTGTGGGTCAGCCAGGAGCCCCGAGCTGCAGGGCCTGAACCCCTCACCCAGGCTGGGCGGGGAGGCTGCCTCTTAGCTCTGCAGTGTCTTAGCCTGAGCCCTTCCCCCTGGAATACCCTCGTCTCCTCCTACCCCACACTCCACCCAAGGACGTGTACACGTACCTCCAGGCCCTGCGAAGCTGCTGGTCTTACCTTCCTGCCCCCCACCCCCCTCACTAGACCGTGTCGCTCTGTCTGTGGACTTGTTACTGGGCCCCGCTTCAGCAGTACTGCTTCGTGGTTAAGAGCGCGGGTTTTAGGATCAGACATGCTTGATCTCTGCTTGTACAGGCTGTGTGGCCTTAGACAAGTAGCTTTACCTCTCTGAACCTCACCTATAAAATAGAACTAATAGCTATTAAACGATTATACTCGGGAGGAGCTCCATGGAGGGTCTGGCAAAGTCAGTGTTCACCGCACGCTCACTCTTACCCGATGTTGCCTTCCCTTCTGTGAGTGAGGGTCACCTGTCTTCCCCTTGGACTTAAAAGCATGTCTCACGCACCTGTGTGCCCCCCAGAGTCCCCGGCACACAGTAGGGGCCCAGGAATTGTTGGGATCAAACTCTTTAAAAAGCCATTTTAAAAGAAGTGCACACCTGCCTGCCCTCGTGTGTTCGTGATCAAGTGTCTCTGAGGATAAACTGTGCCATGTTCATTTCTGGCCTGTGTGTCCTGCCCAGAGAGCGGCCCACGGGGACTCGGCTTTGTGGGAGCTGGTGTGGTGCCAGGGACAGGAGGTGGACATCCTCGCCGGCTAGATGTGATTGTGAACCTTGACTGCTGCTTCCAGCTGTGTGACCCAAGGCCAATCGACCTCTCTGAGACTCGAGGCAGGGGGCTACTCATTTCCGAAGGGTGGCTGTGAGGGTGGGATGAGTTTGTGGTCTGATTCAGGGTCTCAGTTGCTGCCGATTTCTTTCTTGTTACGGCTGCTGCTTCTATTACAATCACACGTTGCTTAATGACAGGGTAGGTCCTGAGAAATGTGTGGTCCTTGTGCGAACATCACAGAGGCACTGACACAAACCTGGATGGTGCAGCCCACTCCACACCTAGGCCGTAAGGTGCAGCTTACTGATCCTAGGCTACAGCCTGTACAGCAGGTTCCTGGACTGAATACTGCAGGCCATGCAGCAGTGGTATCTGTGTATCCAAGCATAACTAAACATGAAAAGCTATAGTAAAGAGATAAAACGGTACAGCTGTGCGGAGACTGACTGCGATTGGAGCCTGCAGGACTGGAAGATGCCGGGGAGTCAGTGAGTGAGTGGGAAGGCCTAGGGCAGACTTTATCACTCTGTCCCACAAGTCCTCCCCGGCTTCCTTCCGACAGGGTCAGAGAACACAGAGCTGTCAACGCTGCCCCATGAGCAGGGATGTGGGCTGGGTGGGAATATCGAGGAGAAACTGGCTGGGGGAGACGCCGATCACCATAACAGTGACTGTCAGGAGGGAGTGACGGTGGCCTGAGGGTCAGCAGGAATGAGAAACCAGGACGAAGGGTAAGGAACACAGGGACTGTCATGGCCACGTGGGTGGCTACTGCCTGTCGGAGCAGTGGTCAGATCAAGGAACTTTGTGGTGGTTCAGGAAAAAGAGGGAGGGTGTTAACACGGAGAGAGTGTAGAACCGAGGACCCACTGTTTTGACTTTGGAAATTTGTTTTGGGTTCCCCTGGCCCTGTCTTATATAATAAAAGGCTAATATGCAAATAGACTGAACCGTGGAACAACCAGACAACCAAACAACCAGTCACTATGACATGCGCTGACCACCAGGGGGCATGTGCAGAACATGGCAGGCGTTGGCCGCAGCGGGATGGTGGAGCAGGTGAGTGGGGGTGCCAGACCAAGGCGGGGCACCAGTCACTATCATCAGGGCGAGCCTCTGGTGGTTATTGAAAATTCTTTGCTCCCACATGCTGCGGTCCCACCCAGCGCTGGCCCCACTCACACTGCTGCCGGCGCCAGAGCCACTGCTCACACCCACTGCTGGTGCCTGGTGCCAGTCCCGATCACTTGGCACCATCATCGGGTGTGTGCGGTGGCTGCCGGCCTGATCGCCCCTGAGGGTTCTCCACCTCCCCCTGCTCCTGAGGGGAAATCAGGGCAACAGCTGCTGCTGGCGCCGGCCCCAATCGCTCCGCGCCATCAGCGGTTGCAAGCGGGGCTGGCACCGTCAGCTCGTGGGAGCGGCGGGAGGGGGGGCGGAGGCGAAATAAAACTATCTCTGCTTTACACCATTACAACCTGACAATGTTTCCAACGTCCAGGGACAGGCTGGCCCCACAGGGAAAGGGAAAACTCTTACTGGAGTGGCCGTGGCGCTTCATACTGGTTAAGGTGCTCCTGTGGGCCTGAGTCCGTGTACAGGACCTTAGGTCCTCAACAGAGCACCTACAGCCGGGTCCTGAAGCCCATCAGCCGGGCCTGGGGGCTGCAGCGCCCTCTGAACATGCAGCGCTGGGGGACGGGCTCCTCTGGGAGGAAACAGGTCAGTGGCTGAGGGACTGGGGTGCAATCTGTGCGCTCAGAATTGAGGTGCTGTGAGCGGGAGGGAGTCTACTGCCAAGCTCCAGACACTGCTCCCGTCAGAGGAAAAATCCCCCTGAACCACATAGCCTTCATTTCCCAGCAGAAATTCAGTAATCCCGTGGGACCACCGTCGAATATGCGGTCTGTGGTTGACGGAAACCTTGTTACGTGGCGCGTGACTGCACCGTTCCTACTGCTGTCAGCCCTCTGCCTTGCAGATTACTTAACAGCCTTCTTTTTCCCATGGCTCCCGGCTCAGGCTGCCCCTCCCACCCCCTTCATGATTCATTCGCACGGGGCTTGCACTGCTCCCGTGAGCACAATCCACAAGAACCTGTTCTGATGGAACAGGAACCTGACACCCTTTGACCTTGGCTCTTGGGGATGTGGCCTGAAACTCCCTCACTGCACAGCGGCAGCGGCAGCAGCTGGGAGCCTGTCCCCCGGCCCCACGCCCTCCCTGCTGCCTGGGACTGGAACTTGGTGACAAAAGTGATTGTGGGCTGAGCCTTGGCCGAGAGGGCCCCGCTGAATCCTTCCTTTGTGGTGGGAACGCAGCGCAGCCGGTTGGTTCCCTGTGAATGAATGGAGCGGGGATCCCTTTCCCAGTTATGCAGCTTGGCAGGAAGCGGTTGGGGCGCAGGGAGAATGGTCAAGGAGCTTCTTTGTCGCGGGGGCTGGTCACGCTGCCAGACACCTCGACTGCCGAGAGCTCCTCCCCCAAAGCCAGCTGGGGCTGAGCCCACGCCTCTGGGACTGTGTCTTCCAGGGCCACAGGACAGAGAGCTCAGTGGCCATGTGAGGTCTAAACCATGTTCTAAAGAATGTCTGGGACTCAGCGAGAAGGGGGCAGAGCTGCTTTCTCTTGTTGGATTTTATTTAAATCAGTGTCTTTACTTTAGGTTCATAGAGACTCCGGTTCAGGTGCGGGCAGGCAGTGAGGACCCACATGGATCTCAGCCATTTGTAGTACTCTGATGGCCAGAGCTGTGGCTACCTTCCCCGGGACACAGCCCCTCCTCATCCCCCCTGACCCCCCCAAAATAAAAATCCCTGCTGGCTCTGATTGGCCAGAGACATGCCTGGGAGCAGAGATAACAGCTGCCAGTGGGAGTGGCGGGCTCACAGCTCTCCCACTCCTGCTGACTTCTACCTGAGAAGGTGCGGGAACCGCTGAAAACCTCCAACCCACCAGGGAATAGTGATAGGGTCACCTTCTCGGGTCAGAATGGAAATCGCATTTCATCTGGGCACCTTGCCCATGCTGCTGGGAAATCATTTGCATATGATTAGGTTTCGGGATCCAGGTTCTCATAAAAATTAGCTCCCTCCCCTCCTCTCCCCCTCGGTGCCAACCTTGAACTTGGAATTTCCCTCAATTCGCATGGGACATGGGTTAAACCGTTTTAACTCGCCTGATAGTCATTCATTTATTCATTCCAATTACAGACAGTGAGTAGGTAGCTGTTACGTTCCCAACACACGGTGCGGGATACTGGGCACACAGAGATGAAGATAGACAGACAAGAGCATTCTTTCAGGGAGTTCACGCTCCAGTAGGGGAGACGGCGAGCCACAGAGCAAGACTATGTAGGTTGTGAGGGAATGCCATCCACCCCAGGAAGGGATATCATCAAGAACTGAGGCCTGGGGTGAGCGAGCGGGCATTGATGTAGAGTGGTCAAGGCAGTCCTTGCTGAGGTGGCAGCATTTGAGCTGAGAGAGAAAGTAGCAAAGAAGCCAAACAGAAGAGACAGATGGAACAGCCAGTGCAAAGGCCCTGGGGCAGGACCTGCTTGGTGGGTGCGGGATACTGGGCACACAGAGATGAAGAAGACAGAGAGGAGCGTTCTTTCAGGGAGTTCACGCTCCAGTAGGGGAGACGGTGAGCCACAGAGCGAGACTATGTAGGTTGTGAGGGAATGCCATCCACCCCAGGAAGGGATATCATCAAGAACTGGGGCCTGGGGTGAGCGAGCGGGCATTGATGTAGAGTGGTCAAGGCAGTCCTTGCTGAGGTGGCAGCATTTGAGCTGAGAGAGAAAGTAGCAAAGAAGCCAAACAGAAGAGACAGATGGAACAGCCAGTGCAAAGGCCCTGGGGCAGGACCTGCTTGGTGTGACTGAGACACAGAACAGAGGCCGCTGAGGGTTGGCGAGCCAGGAGATGAGGTGTGAGAGAGGCAGGAGCCCAATCCAACGGGGTGGGATTTGAAGACCGTAGCAGAGGAGTTTGGATTTTATGCTAAGAGGAGTGGAAAGACATGAATGGGCTTTTGGAAACTCCTATCACAGAAGAGAGATGCAAAGTTTAAGGAATAATAAGTCAAAACCCATGTACCCTCCACTATTCCCCTCCCCACCACCATGTCTCACTCCCCCAGGGAGGGAGCTGTTATCCTGAATTTTAGTTTATCATCTTTGCCTTCCTTCCCAATGTTACAAAAGTGGACCAATCTATGGTTTGGGTGTGCCTGGTTCTGAACTTCATGTAAACGGAATCTTGCTGCGTGTATGCAGTTTGCTTTTCTGTTCAACGTCACGTGTGTGAGAATGGTCCGTGTTGGCACGTGTAACTGCCGTTTGTCGTTTTCACTGCTGCCTAGTACTCCACTGGGCAACACTGTCACGGCTCATCCTTTCTCCTGGGACATGACCTTACTTGATTTTCTAACGTTGAACCACCCCTACATTTGGGGGACAAACCCAATTTCATTTGTGACGTAATATCTTGTTTTTAAAAGCTTTGCTGGATTCTGTTTGCTGAAATTTCGTTCAGGACCTTGGTTTCTAGGCGTGGGGGTCAGACCGGCCTGCCATTTCCCTTTCTTGCCTCGTCCGGTTTTGGTTTTGGTATCAAGGTTATACGTGCCGCCATCATATGACCTGGGGGAGTGTTCCCTCTTCTTTTAACCTCTGGAGCACGTATACGATGGTGACGTAATATCTTGTTTTTAAAAACATTGCTGCATTCTGTTTGCTGAGATTTCGTTCAGGACCTTGGTTTCTAGGCATGGGGGTCAGACCGGCCTGCCATTTCCCTTCTTGCCTCGTCCGGTTTTGGTTTTGGTATCAAGGTTATATGTGCTGCCATCATATGACCTGGGGGAGTGTTCCCTCTTCTTTTAACCTCTGGAGCACGTATACGATGGATAAAACCATGGGAGGGTTTGGTAAATGTAGCCACCATGTGGTTATCCTTCTGCAACCCCACCTCTCTGGTACAGAATCTTGGCTTCTTTGGGTACAACCTTCCTGGCACGTACCCCTACCCAAACCCATGCTCTAACTCCCAAAAAACAAAGAAAACGCTCGTCTCCCCGGTGAGCGCCTCACACTGGGATGCTCACAGCTGACTTATGACGCTCCTCTGGTTTCTTACAGGCGGGTCCTTGACTCGAGGCTTGAGCATGAAGAGTTGTTTTCAGGCCTTTCTGGAGCCCCCCAGGTAACCACAGGTGAGTGCCTCTCTTAACTGGTTAACGATTTTTCTTGAAAACCCAGGCACAGGGTGAAAAACAAAGGAAACACACGTCTCCCCGTGAGCGCCTCACACTAGGATGCTCACAGCTGACTTACGACGCTCCTCTGGTTTCTCACAGGCGGGTCCTTGACTTGAGGCTTGAGCATGAAGAGTCGTTTTCAGGCCTTTCTGGAGCCCCCCAGGTAACCACAGGTGAGTGCCTCTCTTAACTGGTTAACGATTTTTCTTGAAAACCCAGGCACAGGGTCCCTTACTTAGCCCTAGGATGGCCTTGAACATAAGCCATGGAGGGTCCAACTCCAGGGTCCGGAGGTGAACTTGGTGGAGCTGGGACCCCTCGGGTCCTGACACAGCCCCCAGGCCGTTCTGTTTTAGGAACATGTCAGACGCTATGTGGTCCAAATCCTCTATGCACAAAATTAGCTTCTTTCCATATTTTTCAAAGGGAAAGAACGCCACACTAAATATAACACGGTCAGCGAGCCAGAAACAAGATAAATAGCCAAGCTGCACCTCAGGGAGTGTTCACATCCTGCCCCCACCCCCCAGGCCATCGGGGTCCTGGCTCCAGGGGGCGGTGCAATCGGCCAGCAACCTGAAGCTACCGCTGGACACATAACCCTGCCGTGAGCCCCCAAAACAACATCCTTTATTTCATTTTCCTTTTCAAAAAGCAACACGTGTACATTTCTGTTTGTTTGTTTTTTAAAGTCTCATTTTCCCCGTGAGAAAAAGAAAGGAAAAATCAATCTAATCCCGTCACACAGAGAAAATAACTGTAAACATCATGGTGTGTGTAATCGAGGGTTCTGCAATGTGCTGTGATACGTTAAGTAGCGTTTCTCAACCTCTTTCCCACTGTCCCCTAAGGACTCGTTATAAACTCTCTTTTTGTAATGCTGCCCTCCCCACCGCCATGAAATTTTAAGACCACAGAGGTACTGTCTGTTTATGGACTGTGGAGGGCCACAGACCACTCTAATGTCTAAGTTTATTACACCGTCTCCCAAAACCAAGTTTTTCCCCTTGTGGGTGATCTCACCCCATTCAGAATGCAGACTTTAAATAATATTTATAATAACAAACCTTTCTATAAGAACTTACTACATGTTGGCCACATCCTGTCCTGGGTGCTTTTACTTACCATAACTCCCCTATGATATGAGGGCTAGAGAGCTTATCCCCTTTTCAAAGTTGTGGAAATTGGGGCACAGAGAGGTTAAGTAACTTGTCCACGGTCACACAGCTAGGAAGGTACAGAGCGAGGATCTGAGAGCACAGGCATCCTGGCTCCAAAGTTCACACTTAACCACCAAGCTATGTTGCCTTGCAACTACGCATTCTAATTGTAAAAAAAAATCAAAATACAGAAATAGAGAGTAAAAGGGACACTTCCCAAGGCCCCTCCCTCCCCAGAAGCAATCATTGTTATATATTTGGAATGTGCCCCTCATCTGGGATTTTTACACGCATTTGTAGATATGAAAATGTACTGTCGCTTTTTTATTTTAACATGAGTAAGATCATTCAGTCTTTTTTCTTATATATTCAAATATACGGATCTGTGTACATAGGCTTTTTAAATTAGCATCGCACTGAGCTCACCTTTCTTTTAACCTTGCTCTTGGACTTTAAAATGCATCATTAGTTGCCTGGAGACCGTAATTTAATAAGCGCATGTTTTATTTCACCAGATCCAGGTTATTGGCTACATAAGTCGCTTCTAGCTTCTCACTACTGTGAAGCTATCATGGATATCCTTTCCTTACACATAATTCTTAGAAGTGGGAATTGCAGAACCAAAGGCTCTAAACACTGTTGAAACTTTTGATCCGTAAATGCCAAAATTTACCATCCAGAAAAATTGTATGAAATCGCCCATCCCAACACCCTCACCCACCCTGGGTAGTATCAGTATCGTCTGTTTTCAATCTTTGACAATCTGAGGCCTAGAACGTGTGGATCCTGACGTGTTATCTCTGCCCTGGACTCTCATCTCGGACCAGTTTACTCACTGACCGAATAAGGCAGCGCTTGAATCCTAAGGCCTAGAACGTGTGGATCCTGACATATTATCTCTCATCTCAGGCCAGTTTACTCACTGACCGAATAAGGCAGCGCTTGAATGGAGACTTAACGAGGGGGTGGTGGCCAAAGTGGCCCCGATCGCTGGCTTAATAAACACACCATCAGCCTCCCAGGCACAAGGCCGACCTGCCGGGACCTTAACAGGTGCTCGGTTTGTGGCTTTTCCACCTCCTGCTTCTAGCAAAAGCCTCGAGCTGCACCTCTCCACCACTGCGCCCTCCGCCTCTGCCTGGTCTCAGATCCATTCGGCAGAACCAGGCGTTTCTAGGGCTGCCAACACCTTCCTCCTTCCCCTCGCTGGCCGTGAGCGATATTGTGAGAAACCAGTGCCTTGTGCTTACGGTAGACTGTTCCCAGCTGGTCCCACTCTGTCTGCAGCAGGACCCCTGTGCCCTGCCTGTCACACACATGCACAACTGTGCACATGCACACACACACATAGAGGGTCACACACCATACACATGCGTGCATATGCACATATGTACACACACGTGCACACACAATGTAGCATGTTCAGGGTGCAGGCCCTCTTGTGCCAGTGGGACGTCCGTCTTGCAGAGACTTTCCATACGCCCTCCAGCCCGGCTTAGGACCCCGGCTGCCTAACTGCGCAGCTCCCGTGTTTTCTTCCCACTTACGGTTATTCCTTGTGGACTGCTGGCTGCTGGCCCGGAAGCCCCACCCACCCTTACCTTGCTCACCCGTGTTTCTCTAGTGCCCGGAACACTGCTTAGCGGATGCACAGAAATGTGTTGGGCGGGGAGGGGGAGGAACAGACCTCAAGCTGATGAAGGATGTTATCCCAAATACTTCTAGAGTATTTTCTAACAGAATGGCCAGTTTCAGAGGAAGGCCGTTGTTTAGTGAGAAAATATCTCCGAAGCGTCGGATTTCAAGCAGCCTGGTTATCGTCCTCTGGGGAAGATCGGAAAGAATGCAGGATTGAAAAGGGGGCCTTGCCCATCTAAACATCCGTAAGCTTTGGCTGCCTGCAGAGGCTGCTGCCTCGCGGGATGAACGTATTGAGGAGTGGTCATCAGGGAGCACCGCTTCTTCCTGGATTTTTGGCCGGGTCACTGGTCCGTTGCTACTCACGTCATCTGTGTCTCCTTTGAGCTGAGGAGGGTGGGAATCTTGACTCTGCTTTCATGATGTTTGGAGTCTTGCACTTCCATGCTTGTCAGCCTGACACTGTGAGAGAACAGATAATAGATAAATATCTCTGTCACTCACACACACACACACACACACGTGCGCGCGCGCGCGTGCGCGCGAGCATTGCTTGCTCGTCCTCCTTGGCCCCTGGACGTGTTCCAGGCTAAACCTTCAGGTGACTTGCTCACGTGGCTCACTCGCCCGGCCAGGAAGTGGTGATGGAACCCCAGGACGGCTGGCTGCTCCCTTTAGCACGAGGTCTCTGAGCTGCTTCGAGGGAAGAGGGGCATAGCAGCTAAGGTGCGGACGGTGCAAGCTTCTGTCCCTTTAAGCAAAGGAAAACTCCATGTGGCTGAAGGGACGTGTCTTCATGCGGCCTCTGTTCATTTCATTCCTATGATTCCGCAGACAGTTTCTGAGTCCCTGCTATGTTCAGGCACAGAGATGAGGAAGATATGGTCACAGGAAGAGAGAGACTTGCCACACTCGTTGCTGGGGGCTCGGAGGAGCACACGAAGGGGTAGTCACCCAACTGCAGAAATGCTGCAAGTGGGTGTGCAAAGAAGGGCGAGGTGAGCGATGAGTGGGAGAGGCAGGGCCAGGCCCGGTCAGCTGTGACCCTCATTCTTTTGTGGTTGTTGTTTTGTTAATCCTCACCCATGGATATTTTTCTATTGATTTTTTTTTTTAGAGAGAGAGAGAGTAGAAAGGAGGTGAAGAGATAGAGGTAGAGAGAGAAACATTAATGCGAGAAAGACACATAGACTGGTTGCCTCCCCCATGCGCCTCAACCAGGGCCAGGGATCCAGCTTTCAACAGAGGTACGTGCCCTTGGCCAGAATCAAACCCAGGACCCTGTAGTCCACAGGCCAATGCTCTATCCACTGAGCCAAACTGGCTAGGGCCATGACCCTCATATGAAGAGCCTGGAGTTTCAGCGGCAGGAAATGGGGAGCCGCTGAGGCTGCGGAAGACCCCAGGGGGCTGGCTGCACTGGGTCCCATTGACCGATGCCTGTCGCCCAGGCGATTCTGCTATAGTCATTGATCACGGCTTGTGCATGCCATCGTTCACACGCCTCGCATACTCCTGTGAGTCTTCACTGCACTTCATTTAATTCCACAAGATGTTGGAACGACCCGGAGGCCTGACCTCTCTGGCCTCCTGCAGGCAACGGCCTGGCTGTTCCTTTTGGGGTGGGCGTAGGCGGGGCAGCCTGCCTGGTGTAAGACATCTGGAATGCATCAAAGGCAGCCCAGCCGGAGCCTGGCTCCGTCTCAGTGCTGCTCCCCAACTCCCTCCAGAGCACAGCCGCTGCGCGCTCAAAGGCCTGGTGGATCGCAACTGATTTTCCTCTCCTCTGCTTTCCTTTCAGCTCTGGCCGCAGCTGTCCACACCGATGCCTCGCGTGTGCCTGAGTTCTGCTGTTTTCTTAGTGGGCGCTAGGGATCCTGTTCAGTGCGTTTAGGGGTTTTTGTGGTGGTGGCGGCGGTGGCTGCTTTTTTAATTTATTTTCTTCCTTGGACCCGGGCCCTGCCCTGCCCCCGCTGGCATGATGGCCCAGTCCAAGGCCAACGGCTCACACTACGCGCTGACCGCCATCGGCCTGGGGATGCTGGTCCTGGGGGTCATCATGGCCATGTGGAACCTGGTGCCGGGGTTCAGCTCCGGCGAGAAGCCCACAGCCCAGGGCAACAAGACGGAGATAGGCAGCGGCATTCTCAAGAGCAAGACGTTCTCCGTGGCCTACGTGCTGGTGGGGGCTGGGGTGATGCTGCTGCTGCTCTCCATCTGCCTGAGCATCCGGGACAAGCGGAAGCAGCGGCAGGGCGAGGAGATGGCGCACATCCAGCACCTGCCGGGGCCTGAGCCG